GCGATGCCCTGACATTCTAGGGTGGTATCCCTGCGGTCGATGTCTGTTTCGATAAGACGATACTGCACGGTGTGGTGCGTGATGAACGCTAAGCCACCACCATTATCTCGCTCGCGATCTCGACAGTGCACGTTGTACCCGGCGCAATTCAACAAAGTTGAATTGCTGTGCAACTTCGTCTCTTGGACCGCAGCTATTAATATACCATGCCGACACATGAAGACGGTTATCTCCTCAATCTTGCTCTGTAGCCCATTACAGTTGAATTGGAGGAGCTTCATGTGGTTCGGGAGACGTGTCGTGATGTGGGGTGTGAGTGAGGTGTATGTTCTTGCCGCCGTTGGCTGTGTGTGCTGCTGAGGTGATTGCCGCCCTATGGTGGTGGTGGGGGCGTCGCAATTGACGTCTGCGCAACACGGGCCCTCGAAGTTCCCCGTCCAATCTCGCGTAGTACGCAGACCTGAACATGCCCTAAAGTGGAACCAGCCAAGGCAGGTGTTGCACTTGACTGATGTCACATTACGGAATATTCTGGTCTGACATACCGTGCAGATTGTAGGGGGAACCAGGAGTTGTTGGCGGCGGCGTGTGGGTGGTGGTGCGGTTGTGTGTGTTATGTGGTCTGTGGTGGCTGTGGTACGGTCTGTGGTGTTATTATGTTGTTGTGTTCAACTTCGCTCCGGCTACTGCAGCAGGTTAAACTCCTACTTGAGTAGGTTGAATGAGGATGTGCCGAACGAATGTCCGGCATGCGGAGAGACCCCACATGACTCGAACCATCTCTTCGCATGCCCGGAAAACCCGACAACCCTAACGGCCTTGTCCCTGTGGACAGATCCCACAGAAGCTGCACGCTTCCTAGGGTTGCCGTTAGTGGAACTTGACGACAACGACTGAGATACCAACCGATCTGGGCGGGGTTGTTGTAGCCGCTACAACAACAACAACAACAACAAGGTCCTTGCTAGTTTTGCGAATTCTTTGTGTTCTACGCTCCCGCCGTTCACACCAGGTGATTATTGCCCATCAAACAGGTAGCAGCATTAGAGCAAAAACAACATTTGCGTGAATTTTGTTGTTGCTTCTGGTATCGAAAGTGTCAAAAACTGTTGATTTTTTCTTCTAAATTAGGTTTCTTCGTCGAAAATCCAGCAAGAATTATCCAACACTCAAAATATGAGAAAATAAGAAAAAATTCTCTCAAATTTTCTCATGTTGAGAACGCAAATTTGCAGGAATTTGCAAGATTCCCTGCCAGCTGGTGTCCAAGGTTGCATTTCAAACATAATAAATTTTTACAGAATTTTGAAAATTCTTTCATATGGACAAAAACAGGATATACATGTATATTTCTTGTTCTGATTTTTTTTTAAGATACATTTCAATTTCTTTATCGTACTAGCTATCGGGTTTCTTAAATTGACTCTGGTTGCAATTGCATTCCGATTGCGAATACAATTTATTTCAGCCGAGTTAAGTCAAACTCATTGGAATTAACTAAATTAATTATTTCAACAAGTATTTACTTCCTTTTTCATAAAAAAATCGATCGTATATATACATTTTTAAATTTAACGAACTTATTTAATCATATGTTTTTCGTGATTGCAAATTCTTGCTGGCTAAAATTTTTCCAGCAAGAATTTGCAACTTCTCTCAGGAGAACTGTCACTTTGCGCTCTCAGGTGCTATTCAATCGCTTGTTTTGTATGGAAAGATTTGACATGCGAACAGATTTTAACAATTTAGAATTTTTGTGAGAATAAATAAAAAATATTGGAAGTTTTCGAGACCAAATAATTTAAAGAAAATCAAATCAGCTGCTCTACTGATACTACCTGTTCAATGTGCCTTGCTTTCAACTAAAAGTTGCCTGGAAAATCGCCTAATGTAAACACAGCAAGCAAAGCGGTCGATTCATTCATCCGCGTAGCCGAGTGGCGAGAGCTGCGTACCACAAGCCTGCTAGTTCCAGGTTCGATCCTCAGTTGGGGCGATTGCCAAAACAATTTCTTTTTTAATTTTGTTTTATATATTTAATTTTACATTATTTTATTTCCGTTTGGTTTATTTTATTTAAAATTTTTAAGTTTATCATTAGTTGATTTAAATTTGTAGATTAATTTTACTAAAAAAATCAAAACGAACTAACTAAAACCAACATAAAAAATATAGAATTTATAATTGAATGAATAAAATTAAATGAATATTCTACTGCCCGGGACTTGAACCTGCGACCTCGCGGCTGTTTGAAATCCACATAACTGCTGTCTGTCAAGGCACATTTTTGATCAGACCAATCGCGCCGTTAATCCGAATCAACTTTGTCGTCTTGCTATGCTTTTAGTATGCAAAATTGCATCAACTTTAACGTGAGTACTACTAACTGCATGTCCCGGTATTTTGTTCTAAAATTTGTAATCTTTAGTGGATATATCGCATTTGACAATTAAACATCTTAATTTGAACTAAAATCAAAATTAGTATGTTTCCATTTATAAGGCGATATAAGTTGCGATCCCGTACGAGTCCGGACTAGTCAGAATCAGTCAGATTTTACTGGAAATCGATCCCGTACTCGGTTCTCCGACTATTGAGAGGACAAAAAAGAGAGTAAATACGGTTCTCTCTGTCAGAAGTTACCAGTTTTAGTCCGAGAATTTTTTGCTGGTAAATTCTGGTAAATGTGTCAAACGATCAGCTGTAGTGTGTTTGGCAACCAAATTGTAAACAAAAGAAAAGTGCACTCTGCTAATTCATGTTGAAAAGTATTTAATTACTTGTTTAAGTGGATTCTAATGAATTTGAAAGTATTTTTGGTTATTTACATGTGTGAGCTGAGTGTGTTTACATACAAAATAAGCAAAAATTTACAACCAAAATTTGGAGGTTATGTTGAAGTTGACAGAAGTTACCATTTTTTACTAGAAAGCGATCCCGTACTTTTCAATGTTACTCTCTCGCTCTGAGCGAATTTTTATTTTTTGACAGTTTTACTAGTCCGAGTCCGAGGAATACGGGATTGCACCTATAATTAGCTTAATCCTCAATACCCATTTCTTTATCAAAATCTTCCTCTGTAATTTTATTTCTTTTTAACTTCTTGAATAATCTTATGTCGTTAGCCAGCTCCTCCAGATCTTGTTTTGTGTATTGTGGCTTCCTTTTCTTTCCTCTAGCACTTGTTGCATCGTTTTGCGCCCCACTATCGTTTTTCCGCTGTTTTTTCGCCTTTCTTAATTCTTTTTTTGTTTTAGTATCTATTTTAGCTTTTTTTGTTTGTTCCCATGATTCTGTACGCTTGTTGAATTTCTTCTTTCGCGGCCAAACACCACATTCTTCATAGACTTTGAGCTTTTCTTGGCGTTGTTGCTCCTTTTGTGGATTCTTATAGCTTAATTTAGTTATATCTATCTCAAATGTTGGTCCAATGAAATTTATTGCTTCACAGTTCTTTAGTTCAGGCATGCGTGGCATTTGTAGCAGACCATAGGCTGTAGCCACTTTCCCGAGGTCCAAATCTTTTAAACGTAAAATTGCATTGCATTCATGCTTTGTATATGCCTGTATGTGCGACACGAGTGCGCGAGTTCCTTTATCAAAAATATCTTTATCCTTCAGCTAAAAAAGAAATAAGAACTTATAAGAAAAGATCTAAGCATTCGTGGAAATTAGTAAACTTACCTGAAGATTATGCAGTGTTTGCAGTATTTTTTTTAAATCATCACGATTGTGATCAGAACCCAGTAGTTCACTTAGATCGACTTTTTGGTTTATCTTTAGAAAAGTAATATAGGCATCTTCGCTTGGCAGAAGATATATCAAAGCATTTCCCTCATTACCTTGACGTGCTGTACGCCCCACACGATGTACAAAACTACTTGCGCTTGCTGGTGGATCCCACTGCACTACCCAGTCAATTTCAGGTACATCCAGACCGCGTGCCAGAACATCAGTACAAAGTAACACTGCGTCTGTTACTTGCCTGAACCGTTCTACAATATTTTTACGCTTGTTCTTCATTTTACCATGAATGCCTAATATGCAGCGTTCGGGCAAAAACTGTGGTATTACTGTCGTCCAGTATTCCACACATGCACAGGTGGGAAAGAATACCATTACCTTTCCGTGGGCAGACAGTGGTGAACGTAGAAAATTTAATACAGCTAAAAATTTTTCCTCAGGTTCTACTATTTTATAAAAATTTTGTAATTTTGCCGGAGTACTAATACTAGACTTTTCTTTAACTGACACTCTCACAGGGTTTCGAAGGCCTGCACGAATAAGAGCCGTTACTTCAGTTGTTTGCGTAGCGGAAAACAAGCCAGTGCGACGTTGTCTAGGTAAATAACCAAGAATATTGTTTATTGTTGCCTTGAACCCCAAATCAAGTAGTCGATCAGCTTCATCCAACACAAGAAATTCCTATTGGAAAACACAATTATCATATTTTGCTCATACATATGCAATTTTAAGGCTTACCAAACTCTTCACTCTGCTAGCAAGGTTGAGATCGCCTTTTCTTTCGAATATGTCGTCTAAACGACCAGGAGTACAAACCAATATGTTAGGGCTTTCTTTTTTTAATGCGCTAATATCTTCTTCTAAATTGCTGCCTCCCACTAACAATTTTTGACGCAAGTATTGTAAATCCTCCTGCTCCAAAAATTTAGCTAGAACTTCAGATATCTGATATGCTAATTCACGTGTGGGCGAGATAATTAGACCGCCTATTTCTTTGGGATTCCATGGCATATCAGTGTGTCGTCGTTGCAACATCTCTAGCATGGGCACCAAAAAGGCCAATGTTTTCCCAGAGCCAGTTACCGCTTCAACACTAACATCTTTTCGCTCTAGCAGCAGGGGTATCGTGGCGCTCTATAAATGACACATGCAAATAATCTAACATTTTTTAATTACTATTTTAGAAAAACAATTGCTTACTTGGACAGGTGTTGTCTTCTCGAATCCAAAACTAGCTAAGGCTTCTAGGACAGGTGAGGACAGCGAGACCTTTTCTAATTCGGTCCATTTTCTACGAGCCATTTTTAAAGCACCACAATTTTCGTCAAATACTAATTTATTCGAGATAAACACGACAAATTGATATTTTAGCAATTTTGCAGTATTTGTTTTGGTTCGCTTTTCTTGGCCACGTGCTTGAGGGTTGCCAAGTAGCCATCGTCGTTCAAATTTAGCCCTTCGACTCATGATTCAATAACTACAGGTTGTAGC